TTTTATACTGTGAAATGATTTGAGTAAACCAACATAACTGTATAGAAAATAATTAAGTTGTTACTTTAAGTCAGGATAAGGCTTTCTCCAAGTATTATACAGCACCCTGCTGGCTAATAAAAGACAACCACTAATGATGAATTTCAAAACAGTTAGGACACAAGGGAAGCCACTGCATTTTCTACCATATATGTAATATTGGAAAGACCCATAAAAAGAACTGGAATTCCAGACTGAAGCACTTAATCAAAAGGTCAATGACTATGGCAATTCACTTGATCCTATGTTCCCTCCATAACTCTAACATTATAATCAATAAGATAAGAGTACTATTTTTTTTTTTTTTAAAGATTTTATTTATTTATTTTTTCCCCCCAAAGCCCCAGTAGATAGTTGTATGTCATAGCTGCACATCCTTCTAGTTGCTGTATGTGGGACGCGGCCTCAGCATGGCCGGACAAGCGGTGCGTCCGTGCACGCCCGGGATCCGAACCCGGGCCGCCAGCAGCAGAGCGCGCGCACTTAACCACTAAGCCACGGGGCCGGCCCTATTTTTTTTTTTTAAAGATTTTATTTATTTACTTTTTCCCCCCTAAAGCCCCAGTAGATAGTTGTATGTCATAGGTGCACATCCTTCTAGTTGCTGTATGTGGGACACGGCCTCAGCATGGCCGGAGAAGCAGTGCGTCGGTGCGCGCCCAGGATCCGAACCCAGGTCGCCAGCAGCAGAGCGCGCACACTTAACCGCTAAGCCACAGGGCCGGCCCCAAGAGTACTATTTTACTATGAACATAAAATATTACATAACAAATAATGGTATCACTAACATTTGTTACATGCCAGGCACTGTGCTAAGCATGTTTTGGGCATCACCTCAATTTATTCGAATTATAAATTGGATGAACTTTATTTGAAATGATCATGTGTCATTCACCTGAATGCATTACGGGAACGGACACTGTGTCTGTCTGGGGAACACTTTCCCTATCTAGTATTGTAAAACGGAAGGCATGTAAATCCGCCCTTCCTCCAATATTAACTGGACATGCTAAATGGGGACCATTAAATGGGGACCATTAAGATTGCCTAAACCCATGGGCCGGCCTGGTGTTGCAAGCGGTTAAGTGCATGCGCTCCACTGTGGTGGCCCGGGGTTCGCCGGTTCAGATCCCGGGCGCGCACTGACGCACCGCTTGTCAAGCCATGCTGTGGTGGAGTCCCATATAAAGTGGAGGAAGATGGGCATGGATGTTAGCCCAAGGCCAGTCTTCCTCAGCAAAAAGAGGAGGATTGGCAGATGTTAGCTCAGGGTCGATCTTCCTCACAGAAAAAAAAAAAAAGGTTGCATAAGCCCATGAGGTCATTAATTTGCTGCACAATAGGTCTGTATGGAGTACAGACTGAGACTTGTGGCAAAAGCCAGTAAATGCCACCTAGTGATGACTTCTGGGATTTGCGAACAGAAAATTTCCATTTGTGAGACAACCAGCTTGCCACTAGGCACCAACTGAGACTGCCCCTAAGACTGAAACAAAATAACTCTGAAATCTGTAATACCCATATCTTGGGTGATGTCAGAAAAACATGGCAGTGCCAGAAGAGTTCCATAATAAAATGGAAATGGTCTGTTCAGGAACATGCTACCAGGGCAATGCAAAGAGGTACTCAGAGTACTGATAAGAAGGGAGCCTCTTTTTCCCTAGGGCCAACTTTGGCACCATCTGCCAGATTCTACTGTCACCCAGACAGCACCCTATGAATGGCTCTCTCCTGACCAACAAAGAGCTGTTTGGTTTACGGATGGTAGTTCTAAGATGAACAGACTGCATCCTGTTTGGAAGGCTGCCACTCCGATTGAAGAAGGTAAAAACAAATCAGCTTGGTGGGCAGACTTAACTGCAGGCTGTTTGCCACTATGTTTGGTTTTTACCAACGCATGGGCGGTGGCCAATGGCCTGGCCATATGATCAGGCAGGAGGGCCGTGGAAATCTAGCCTATTAAAGGAGTGCCTGTATAGGGAATAGCCCTATAGAAATCACTAGGAATTTGAGAAGTGCATTAAAGCAGGACATGTCTATGCCCATCAGGACAAACTCCTTCCAGAATCGGAAGGTGACTGGTTTCAATGAGTAGACAGCCCACCGTGCTTGCTTGAGGTGGCCATCTGGGTCCATGAAATGGGCGGACATGGCAGTACTGTGGCAACGCAGATGGGCTGAATTTAGACATATTCCTTTTGCAACCTGAGGCACAAAATGCCAATGAGAAATGTTCTGCCAACAAGAGAGAGACAGACCAGATGGCTATGGGGCAGACTCCCCTGGGGTAAGGCCCTGCACACAGCTGACAGTGGACTGATGCCAGCAACCCCAGGAGGCTACAAATGGGTCCTGACAGGAGCAGACGCTTACCTGCACTGAGCTTTGTTTACCTGACGATAGATCAAATGTTCACAGTACTACAAAAAGACCAGAACACAAGATATTGCACTCGATTAGGAGTAATGGGTAAGGAGATATCCTCAGGGTAATGGTTTGATAAAGAAGTGGAACAAGCAACTGAAACATCTGTTGTCTAAAACAGGGCCGTAGAGGGGGGATAAAGCACAAAGGGCTGGCTTACATGCCTTCATGAGCATGTACTCACACTCAACATAAGGGGGACCAAGGGAGGGTCACTACTAGAGAGATTCCTCTGCTTTTCTGGGGGATTTGGAAAGAGACGAGTTGGGGGGGGACAACGCTGGTATGACTCTGCAATTCTTCCCACGGGGGTAGGATGGTGGCATAACTTTCTTCCCCACATCACCTCAATTTTTTTTCCTACCTAAAGCAGTGGTCTCAGGACGAGGGCTGCAACTGCAGATGTCAGAAGCAGAGATGATGACTGCTAAGCAAGAAACTCTAACTATATCTTTAAACCTTTATGTCAGAATTCCTAAGGGCCTGATGGAGTGGGTTGTGCCTTTACCCCATCCAATAAAATTGGGGTTGAAAGAGAATACAGATGTATTTCCTGATGGTGAGATAGCCCACTAGTTCTGTCCTGCATAAATCTACCCTATATGGATGGGAGTGGACCAAGGGGAGGCACATGTTGGACTACAGTGTATTGCTGCCAGCTATCTAGACCAGCACAGTGGCTGAACCTAATGTCCCTTCCAAAGGTAGAAAAGTTTGGGTACAAATGGAGAGAGGGAGGAATGGTAGCCGAGATAATGGAATTAATAAATGGATTATGCAATGAGGGAAATTCAATACTACACTGCTACCTTGAGAAAGGTGCAGAGCAAGAGACAATATTGTCTCTTGGCTCAATTATATCAGATTCCTGAAAGGGTGAAGCCATATGTTGGCGAGACCACTCCTGCTCTTAGAACCTTAGAAAATCAAACAAAAGCCTGCAAACTTGAGAGGCATTGTTCTGGGAGACACTGTGGTGCTATGATATGAGGATGAACTGGAATAACAGTTAATGACCGAGTGAGACTCTAGTAATAGGTCAGTATCTTTGACTCTTATTTTTCAGGTTACATCTACTGCCATCCTATGATATAGTGTAACGCTGGCATTGTTGGTAAGGTTATAATACTAATATTGATAGTTAAATGTATTACCAAATTGAATTAAAACCTCCTTATGACGAATACTAATGGGAAATGATTGGTCTGAGGGAAGAAGTGGATTTAGCTAATCATCAGCTAATTTCTATCATAAATAGTTCATTAAGTTTATCATAAGGGACAAATAGCAGATCGGGGTAGGGTGGGAAAGCATAATCAAATTGGTATAAAAATATGAAAATGTATGTAGCAGCTTTACGGAACAAATTAGTTATTTCTTCAAATATATCCCTAACTTACACTGGCTCTTCAAATGTTAGGCATATTCATAATGATTGTATTGCTATCTGTGTCTGTCATATAAATGCTATACTAAATGCAGATGCCCAGATAAACATGATTGTTTTTGTTTAAAAGAGCCTTGGCCAAAGGTCAGGGGATGGCCTGTGTAGTCAAGAATTTGGCCTTGCCCAAAAGGGTCTGGCCTTTGCCCCCTGCTAAGAAGTAACCTATGTCATACCTGATAGGATTGTCTTTGTTTAGGATGGGGGCTGGTGACAACAGATCTTAGGGAGAAGTTGGCCACATCTGACATTCTTCCGTGGGGGCTGGCCACACCAGAAAGAACCACCATGTGATTCAGGGTGGGGCTTTGGGTCACACAGTATCAATTGACCTGGAGGCTGAGATCAACCATGTGAACAATCAATCTAATCAATCACGCCTACATAATGGACCCAATAAAAACTCTGGACACTGAGACTCCCTGCGCCTGACTCTATGCATACTGTCACACACTGACGCTGGGAGGGTAATGCATCCTGACTCTGAAGCTTTGCATTTGTAACCCTCCCAGACTCTACCCTATGCCTTTCTCCTTTTAGCTGATTTTAATCCGTGTCCTTTCCTTGTAATAAACCATAACTGTGAATATAACGGCTTTCATTCAGTGAGTTCTATGAGTCCTTCCAGTGAGTTATCAAACCTAAGAGTGATTATGGATGGGAACCCACCAAACCTGCAGTTGGTGTCAAAAGTGAGGGCAGTCTTGGGGACTGTGCATTCAAACTTTGCAGTCTGTCTCAACTGCAGGTAGGTAGGTACTCTCATTAACCCATTCTACAATGAAGAAAGCAAGGTGTACAGAGCAGATAAACTGCAGGAGAGCACAAGCTTCTAAGGTGTAGTGCTAGAACACAAACCCTCATTTGGCTGACTTCATGCCCACATTCTTAGTTTTTACAGTACTTTATTACACAAGATGACCATAACATAGGACCAACCATTAGATAGATGGGTATTTCACTGTATGATGTATTTCACTAGTATGACATATTTAACTTTTTGCCTCTTCTCATACCAAACTTGAACCGAAGTAATTAGTTAACTGTTAAGCATAAATTAATAATTATTACTGTCTACAGTTTTGACCATTACCGGTTTTGTGCAGTGAATGTTTCCCTCTGAGGATGAAGATCACTATAAACAACCCTGATGAGATCATGTTGACACAATGCCCCTTCAGTCAAAGCCATGGATCCAATTGTCGAGGGCTACAAAAATAAGGTGAAGCATGAGACTGTGCCTCTAGAATGAAGTAAAAATCTATATCATGAAAAGATATTTAAATTTGTTTCAACAAAAGGCAGTTTCAGACCATTTCTTCTTCTCTTTCAAAACCTTTTCCATTTTTCAATTAGATACATTTTACAACTCTCTTTGGAAATTACATATATAATATATAAAACTAAAAATATACTGCTTTATTTTTTGAAATATTACGGAATAAATCTGTATTTAGGACACAGAAAAAGAAAAGTCACTGAAAAGACTAAAGGTTACAAATACATCAATTTTAATTTGTTTGTATTTCAGAACACAGAGCAGTCTTGGCAACTGTGTTCAAACTCTGCAGTTTGTCTAACTTCAAGCAGGTAGGCACTCTCACTAATCCCATTCTACAATGAAGGAAGCAAGGCACAGAGAGTTGTAATTATATAACAAACGATATTGAAGACTATGATCAAATGTCTTTTAGTAACATAAATGATTTCTTGTTTCTAAAGTTGGAAGAACTATCCATTCATAAATGTCTCACTATCCTCTACTTTATTTCATAACATCACACAAAGAACTTAATTAAAATCTATTACTCAGAAATATTCTATGCTAAAATAAGTCCTGGCTAAACAGGAGGCATTCTATTTCCAACACAAAACAAAGTCCCAGGGGAATTAATTAAGAAAATAAATAGCTGCATAGAGCTATGAGACAACAGGATATTGTTTGTTGGTAAGAAAATGGAATATAATTTTTAGGCTACTGGTAAACTTTCCTTAATTGCTTTCCTCACAACTTTATGCACTAAAAGCCACTACAGACCAGAAGCTTGATTCATAACATACACCCTTAAACAGAGCAGGCAGCAGGAGTTCAGCTCCACAGGAGTCGTCTGCCCACATGATTATCAGTGTTCTCACATTCTTCAACAAATAAATAGAAGCAAAAATCAGAGGTGTAATGTTACTGAACACCTAGAATGCATCAGATTCCTTTCAACAGAAATAAAATAATTAGTGTTAATATTCTTCTAAGTAGTCAATTTCCTAAAAAATAATAAAAACAAATTAACCTAACATAGATGATTTCTAATTAATACGGAAGACTAAAAAAATTAAAGAATATTTTTGACAATTGATAAAAGACCAATAAAAAAGACTGAAAATGATACTAGGAGAAGAATTAAAAAGAAACAAGAACTAGAGGAAAACTTTCCATTAATTACTTTCTGCCTCTCTTGACAACAGCTCAGTTCTGTATTGCTAATAACAAACATTTACTTTTAAGATGCAAATCAGTAAAGATATGTTGGGAATATTTACCTCTGGTAAGAAATTGACTTTTGTCTCTTACTCAATATAATTTTAAATAATTCCACCTTTCCAGTCTTACTTACCTCATGGTATATTGAAGGCTTGGATAAGGAAGGGATAGTAAAAGATAGAACTTTATTGTTTCCGTCTTTATCAGCAATTTCCTATAGTTAAGAAAACATACAAAGATAATGAAATATTCATAGGACTATAAGAAATAATAATTACTTTTTTTTTTGGGGGGGGAGGAAGATCAGCCCTGAGCTAACATCTGCCAATCCTCCTCTTTTTGCTGAGGAAGACTAGCCGTGGACTAACACCTGTGCCCATCTTCCTCCACTTTATATGGGACGCCGCCACAGCACGGCTTGACAAGCAGTGCATCAGTGTGCGCCCGGGATCTGAACCCGGGCCGCCAACAGCAGAGCGTGCGCACTTAACTGCCACGCCACAGGGCCGCCCCCCAGAATGCATCTCAACTAAAAGAAACTCTTACAATTATTCAGCCATAAACTAATGACCTGAAATAAGCTACATATTAACATAATTAATATTAGTCCAAGTGATTAAAAGTAAGTTCATATTTAGGTAATTTTTACTGAACTGCAAGAAAATTCTCGTGATTTTTCACTTTTTGAAAATCCTTTCACTGTGTCCTTTGTTTGTATCTAGAGTCTCTGACACCTCCTATCTTCCACAGGTTATCAATAAAACTCTGCCTACAGATGCCAGCTATTAGAGGGGTGAAATGCCAGCTATTAGAGGGGTGAAATGTTCCTTCTGTGTCACTCCTTTTCTCTACTGCCTTATTTTAGTCTGTATTTCCTTTACAACTCATATTAGTATACATGACTGGCATAAGATCCATAGAGAGAAGATTGCTTTTAATAGACCTAGAAGGAAGGTGGTCAGAGAGACTGAGTAGTCACACAGCATAAAAAGAAGAAACAACATTAAAAACAACTATCATTACCAAAACACAAACCCAAAAGAACTTGCCTATAGGGCTCATTTCTGAGTTCACTATGTCATAGGAGAATATCAATTATACGTGAACAATGGCCATACCTTTACTTTTGGCAGGAAAATGGGTTTAAAAATTCCCTAGAGAGTTTTTTAACTACTTTGTAGTCAAACTAGTTATCACCACATCTGGGCCACTGTGCCTCAGAGAATGTCTATGCTAAGATGAATGGACCTGACTTAAGTTAGGAAATAAAATTTTAATTTTTATTCCTAAATTTTAAATTAAGCCAAATACTTTTGATTTATACTTGTGTGTGTTTGTGGAGAAGAGTGTTCTGAAATTTGTTTAAGCTGAGGGCAATATACAACTCTCCCTGGAGCTATCTGAAGCAAGGGAAAAGTGCTCGGGAGGAAAATAAGAAAAAAGAGAAATGAATATATAAAAGAAACCCAGTGTGGTAAGAAAAATAGAGAACCACAGAGAAGAAAGAGCACAGGTATCAAGGGAATTAAAAGAAGGCAGAAGCCTGAGGTTATATTTCTGACATATAATTGAACATTTTTTTATAGTACACAATTTTTGAGATGCCAAAAGATAATTAAACCATAGCACCAACAAGTACTGCCAAGAACTTATCAAGCATTCTGCTACACAAAATATTTTTGCTTCATTTGTCCCACTACTGAATTTCATTACACTAAAAAAATTAATAAAAATCATAGCTTAAACATAATCTAAAACACTCAACTCAATTGTTAAATCAGCAAACATTTACTAAGTGCCTGTGCTAACCACTAGAGGAGACATGGTGATATATGGAACAAATTTTCTGCTTTAAAAAAAAAAACAGCCAGGCAAGCTTGCAAAACAGAGAACCTTATACCTAGACCAGCTTTTCATTTAAAAAAACTCAACTTTCATTATGATAATACTACTACTATTAATAATAATAATGATTAAATACCTCAGGCAACATGCTGGATTCTTCTAGTTGTTTTTAATCCTACTAACAACGTTTTATTTCTGTTTTACAGATGAGGCAACTAAGTCAAGATATTAAGTAACTTGCCCAAATTTACAACAGTCAGTAAGTGGCAGGGCCTGGTTTTAAACAAAATACAAGTGACTCCAAACGCCATGCTCCTTCCTTCAGATATATGTTCCAGTGATGGAAACGTTTTCTAACGATTTTTTTAAGAGATAACAGACGAATGAGCACTGGTGCAGACAATAATTATTGTGAGACAATGTTTTGTGAGGTACTTTATCACCTCTCAACTATAAAACTTAACTTTATCATGTGGAGTATTTATTTACGACGAGAACTAAATACACAGAATATAAGACTTCAGAGGGCAGGAATTTTAATACCAATGCCCTAAACTAGGCACCATGAGAAAAAAAACAGAATGTTTAAGGTACTCAAGAATTCCTTAGAAGAAAAGAGTTTCATACACAATATAGTATCAAATATATAATGTTATCAAGTGATTATTAAAAATAAATTAAAAATTTTTTAAACGCAAGACATTCATAAATATTGGTCACATAAAATAATTTGAAGAAATAAGTCATAAAATAGTAACAATGCTATGTTATAATAGTTTCAACTACTTTATAAAATGTATTATCAGCAATTACTTATTAAGCACCTCTGTACTCAATTTAACTAATTCAACTAAATTTTTCAGCAGACATTTCAATTTATTTTTCTCTAAACATTCTTTAGTATCATTTCAGAGGACTTTAAAAAATACTTAAAATTTCCCACACTATCATCTTCAACTTACCAAATTATAAATTCCTAACAGGAGTGCTTCAATGCAACCATTACTCTGTCTGTCTCGGCTAACTGTAAGCCGTAAATAAACCCACATCAATTCCGGCAAGAACTGCAGTGTGAACCTCTTAAGTCGAACTTCAGAGCTACGATAGAGCTCAAATAGCTGGTGGCAGACAGGCTCCAGGAGCTAAAAGGAAAATAAAGTGCATTAGGAAAATAAAGTGCATTAGTCATCTCCATTCTTTTGGCAGTAACTGTGTTTTTTTAAAGGCACACATACTTGTATAATATTTTTAAATAAAGTCTTAATATTAATTTTTGCATATTTTGAACCAATGCAACCACAACCTTAATCTCTATTTATGTACAGAGACTACATATGAAACTGACTAATCCACTAACTATAAGAGTACTTCGTGTCTATATAATATCAACATATCTTTCAATACACTGTACTATTAAATTTATTAGATAATTAGTTCTTTAAACAATGTATTACATATATATTTAGTGAGTTTCCTTTTCTGTTCTTACCAACCCTTACTATCCTCCATTTAAAAAAGTTTTGAGTCCAGCACAGAGGCGTCGTGGTTAAGTGCGTGCGCTCCGCTTTGGCGGCCCAGGGTTCACGAGTTCGAATCCTGGACACACTCCGATGCACCACTTGTCAAGCCATGCTGTGGTGGTGTCCCATATAATGTAGAGGAAGATGGGCACAGATGTTAGCCCAGGGCCAATCTTCCTCAACAAAAAAAGGAGGATTGGCATCGGATGTTAGCTCAGGGCTAATCTTCCTCACGAAAAATAAAAAAAATTTTTTTTAAATTAAAATGTTTCTAGGGCCAGTCCCAGTTGCCTAGTGGTTAAGTTTGGTGCACTCCACTTTGGTGGCCTGGGTTCAGTTCCCGGGTGCGGACCTATACCACTCGTCAGTGGCCATGCTGTGGTGGTGGCCCACATACAAAATAGAGGAACATTGGCGACAGATGCTAGCTCAGGGCGAATCTTCCTCAGCAAAAAAAAAAAAAAAAAAAAAAAAAAAATTCTATTGGAAAAAAATAATTTCAAATGATCTTGTTGGAAACAAACTTTGAATCTATGATTTAGACTATGATTTAAACAGAAGAGAAAGGGATTTTGCAATACATATTTAGACATCCAAAATGCTAGCTAATATTTTAAATACATACAGTAAAACAAACAGATTATTTTTAGGTTTTGGGACTAACTTAAATTCTACTAATCATACCTATCTGAAATATTTTGAAAAGGAGGAAAGTATATAGAAATAGCTTTTTCAATGTTTAATTGGATAAGTTTTCATATATCACACAATATGACTTATGAGGAGCTTGAGGACCCTGAAAATGGAAGAAAACCAACAGTTCAAATAAACCTCCCCCTTTTCCCTAAACATGTACTGCCAATTTAGAATGGTTTTGTTGGAATAACTGCAGACTACACAAAATTGGCTGTGATTTTAAAACGCAGATAAAACACTGACAGGAAACTATAAAATAATGTTAATTAAAGTTTAATGTTAGCTTTTTAAAAAAATGAATACTTCAGGAATTTATACACCTACTTCTATTCCGAATGATTAAAATAACACATACATTTGGAAATCTGCTTGAAAGTAGTTATACACATATGTAATAATCTAACACTCTAGAATAAAGTCACTACTTTCACAATTGTCAGTTAAAAGTCAACAAATCCTATGCTGATTGTATAGGTAATATATTCAGACAAGTTAAGCTTAGCTCTCTTAAGGAGCAACTCTGAAGCTAAAAAAATTTACACACACACACCCTCTAATCTAGTAACTACTAAGCCCTTTTTGTGAAATCATTATCTTAGTATTTAAAATTAAAAAACATTCCAACTCTCCCCTTACACTGAAGTTTAGACCAGTCAGACAATTTGCGCAAAGTCACAGAAGTTAGTGGAGGAGGAAGACACTAGAAGTCAGTCTTCAGACACCAAGGTGACGCTCTCACTGTACCACATTTCTTATACTAGAATGAAGGCGGAGTAGCAGGTGGGCTGTTTAATTACAAATAGTACATTCCATGTAATGTCAATAATGAAGTAATAAACTTTTGAAAATAGTCAACTGCTGGCATCTTTTTAAAGTACTGACATTTGAAAATAGTCAACTGCTGGCATCTTTTTAAAGTACTGACAACAATATTCAGCTCTTTTGGGGAATTAAAGATTGCTGCTTTCATAAATTTATTTATTAAAAATCTATATCCATGTTTCAAATCTACTTTCTTCTTTAGTAAAAGACTCCAAAATGGTCTTCTCTAAGTTTTATTGGCCATGGTACAATTACAATTTGTTTAGGTTATAATGACTTTAACTTTCCCTCCTCAGTAGCAAGAAGTACACTGGCATCTAGGAGAGTATATTTTAATTAAGCATAGCAAAGAAACACAGGGCTGCCAAAATTATTACTCTGTTTTTTTTTTTTAAAAAGTGGGGAGGAGGAGTGACTGGCAATCTAGTAACTTTTAATAAGATACCACTACAACAAAAGACTGTTAAAAACTGCCAATGCTGTTAAAATCTGTTAATTATAAGCACATGTATCATGCCATCATATTTTCAATTTCTCAGTATCATAAATGACTCTGATATTCCCTAAATGGCACTAGCATCACATCAAAATGTGTTAAAAATCACTATCCTCTGGTTAAAAAAAAAAGCTTAAGAATAACTGACACCTTTTCTAAATTTAGCAAATAGTTTTCACATAATTACTGAAAGACAGGCTATCTGATGAACACACTGAGAGCAGTCTGGGTGGACTAATGGAGACTGAAGCCCAATTTGAGTGGGTTAAAGAGAGAATGTGAGGTGAGGAAATGGGGACAAACAGGTTATAAATAAGCAATACTTGACGAATTTCATCTGTGAAGAAGCACAGAAAAATGGGGTAGATAATAAAATAGGAGGCAACCCAAAGAGGGTTTTTAAAAAGTAGAATATGGGGGGCCAGCTTGGTGGTGTAGTGGTTAAGTCTGTGTGCTCCACTTTGGCGGCCCAGGGTTCACAGATTCGGATCCCGGGCGCGGACCTACACACCACTCATCAAGCCATGCTGTGGCAGCATCCCACATACAAAGTAGAGAAAGATGGGCACAGATGCTAGCTCAGGGCTAATCTTCCTCAGCAAAAAGAGGAAGCCCCGTGGCTTAGCGGTTAAGTGCACGCGCTCTGCTACTGGCGGCCCGGGTTTGGATCCCGGGCGCGCACCAACGCACCACTTCTCTGGACATGCTGAGGCCACGTCCCACATACTGCAACTAGAAGGATGTGCAACTATGACATACAACTATCTACTGGGGCTTTGGGGAAAAACAAGGAGGAGGATTGGCAATGGATGTTAGCTCAGAGCTGGTCTTCCTCAGCAAAAAGAGGAGGATTAGCACAGATGTTAGCTCAGGGCTGATCTTTCTCACAAAAAAAAAAAAAAAAAGAGGAAGATTAGCAATGCATGTTAGCTCAGGGCCAATGTTCCTCACCAACAAAAGAAAGCAGAATATGGTTGTTTACCATATTCCATTCATCAGGGAAGGACAAAAAATGAATGATGGAGGAAAGAGAGGGGATAATTGTAGAAGCAGTATTTGAGGTGGCTAGGGAAGATGGGCCTACATGGAAGATATGGTCTTTGACACAACCTGGGACACTCCATCCACTGAAGGGCAGCAAAGGCAGGAGAGTGTGGGTAGAGACAAGATGCTGGTATTGTGGTAGATTTGAATGGGAAAATAAGAAAGTTCCCAACTGTTTTTCTTCTTTTTTAACGACACAGAAAGCAAGTTGACAATGAGGAGGAAGGAGGGTAAGAGTATAAGGAAAGAGAAGGTGTAAAATGAACAGTGGGACAGTGTACCAAGGAAGTAAAGCAAGACTGCAAGGCAGTATTACGTGTCCATCTGAGATTTTTAGTCCTGCATTTAAAGTGGAGAAAGCCAACAAAACTATGTTTTCTCCAGGTATGGCCAGCCACTCAGGTACAGGCATGAAGTAGATGAAATGGCTGGGTTTTATCCAGCATTGAGATTTTGCCCAAAGAATATGAACTAAGGGAATGAGAGGCAGAGGAGCTAAGAATGTTTGCAAGGGAATGACTGTAATGATGGACCATAAAAATTTGGCTGGGAAAAGAGAAAAGTGACACACTTGAGAGGAGGCGGCAAGGCAACCAAATCATGAAAAAGTGACAGGGTTAATGGGTTTGACAGAGGTCTCCCCGAAGTAGAAGAACTGCCAGAGTGACTATGGGGTCTGGAAGGAGGGAAAGGAGAAAAATAAAGCAATATGTTGATCTAGAGATTAAAACTTAACTTGTAATACAGGTTGGCCATGATGTGTAATACTAAACTTCCAGAAAATATACTTTCTTAAGAACTTTTATGGTCTTTAAAGCAAAATTGTTTGTAAGATTGTTGTAAGTTTCAATTAATACTATATATGGCATGTGACAATTTTCTGAAATCTTTGTTAACTAAATAATACATTTGATTATGTTTCAGAATATAACAAAATCAGGACTGAAAGGGCTCTCCTTCTACAACTAAAGTCCAGAAATGCTTCGAGATTCTACAGAACTTAACGTTCTGTTTTTCTGAAGTATGAACACACGGTTAGAACCTTATGATATGACAGGATAAAGGAAGGAAAGACAGACCTGTTCTGGCACCTGGCTGATTATAATGAATGCTGGGTGTTGAGTTTGAATCTTGTAATATTTCCATTTCTAGCCATGACAAAGTCTCACACTGTAATATTATGAAGCATGACAATATAAAGTAATGTGAATAATTTTTTTAAATGTCATAGCTTGCAAAGTATAAAAGAAAAAAATGAAACTGATACTTTTATACACTTGTGAGTCCTAATGAAAACGATAGCATTTTAGAATCTCATTTTGTATTTCACTCCTCTTCTAATCAATATTTATTAAGTGTTCATCATGTATATGATAAAAATACTAGATTCTGGGGAAATCAGAAATACAGAATATATGACCACTGCCCATGAAGAGCTTACAATCTAAAGAGAAAGCATACAACAAATAAATCTTAATAAGCAAAGCTTACATGTTAAGACAGTGCAAAACAAGGGGTAGGGAATACACACATTCTTTATTTAAACAGAATTTTGAAAACCCTGACCAAGAAGGATATGCACGTATGTACAATACCACACGTAAAGTTATAAAACATCCATAAATACACAGCAAGAGAAAAAGAAGCAAATGAATCCTGCAATTGCTGCTACAAATAGCAACAGGTGCAAGCCTGACTGAGAGCCAATCCAAGTTCAGGAGATAGGGAAGAAAGAGGTCAGTAAGCAAGCTTTTAGTGACAGGACAAAAATGGAGATGCATTTTAAGTTAAGCTGCTGGTTAGGAGATGATTACCTGAACTTCTTCAAACTCACTCCAGTACACAGCAGAGGCACTCTTGGAGGCTGTATCTGGGAAGATAAGAAGCTACTTTCCTGTGTGTTCCTTTCATTTTCATTTAAAGCACACATGAATCCAGTGGTGATAAAACTGTATGTCATCCTATTGTGTTAATGGAAAGATGTGTGTATCTTGCATAAATTAACATATAGATTCAATAGCTGTATTTTTATCCTTCTATGACAAAGCTGAATAATAGGAAACTCTTATTCTAAGTTTATTGATCTTCACTATTTAGACAAAAAATTGCTTTCTATGATCATTTTCAAGCTAAATTTACAAGCAGCATCATTTCATGTTTGTTACCAGTTTGAGTTCACTCATTAGAGTGATTATATGTAGTTCTATATTGTCAGGAAAATAACTCAAACAATACTTAAAATAAATTTTAATCAGTGTATAATTAAAATTTGGCTTCCAGAAAAGGAAACATTCCAAAACAGGAAACAGAAAAATTTCAAAATTAAATAAAGACAGTCACTCAAAATCAAGAATCAAAACATACTGTCCTTGACAGCAACAAATTTGATCGAAACATTTAAAAAATATGAAGAGAGAGGGCATGGGGAAAGCCAAAGCAACTATCAGAATGAAAAGCAGCAGAAAGAAAGTTTTCCAGTCCCAAAAGGATTTAAAAAAAACAAAAAACAAAAAAAAAGAGGGAAAACTAAAAAACTTACATATATGTGTTTCAGTACACATAGTTCATTTTATTATGTTGAAATTCTTTTTCATATAAACTCTCCTACCTCATTATTCAAATCTTGAATAACTTTATAGAGGGCTGGTACCAGTGTTTTCTTCCGGTGTAGAGTTGCTGCATAATTGGTGATCTGAGTGTCAGGTAATGCCTGAAAGAAACATCAAAGGAAAACAAAAGTGAACTTAATACTTGAGAAGTCAGAAACTTTATTTTATGTTTTTGCTGAGGAAGATTCACCGTGAGATAACATCTGCTGCCAATCTTTCTCTTTTTTTGTATGTGAGGCGCTGCCACAGCATGGCCACTGACAGAAGAGTGGTGTAGGTCCAAGCCCAGGAACTGAACCTGAGCCACTGAAGCGGAGCGCACTGAACTTAACCATTAGGTCACCGGGGCTGCCCCAAGAACTTTATTTTACATGAGTCCTTCTTGAAAAGATTTATAATTGAGTCAACTAAAAAAAGTACAAATAATTAATACAAGAAATAACCATGCAAGTTAATAAAACGAGTTGGGATGTTATATTATACAATTCTTCTAACTATTCGACCATGAAAAATTATTAGAAATCACACATTATACTGAGATTTGTTGAAATGGGTCACCTTAAACTAGTCTTAAAAAAATAGTATAGGGGGCCGGCCCCGTGGCTTAGCGGTTAAGTGCGCGCACTCCACTACTGGTGGCCCGGGTTCGGATCCCGGGCACGCACAGATGCACCGCTTCTCTGGCCATGCTGAGGCCGCATCCCACATATAGCAACTAGAAGGATGTGCAACTATGACATACAACTATCTACTGGGGCTTTGGGGGAAAAAAAAAAAAAGGAGGAGGATTGGCAATAGATGTTAG